GTTCGTGGATCCTTTAAACAAAGCAACGGATGAAATGAAACGCTCGGAAATATTCGGTATGGCCTCTCGTTGGCCGTTCCTAAACCATTAACCGATGGTTGGTGATCGGTGTGTGTACTCGTCAAATATTGTGGTAATGGATGATGTGTGAATCTGAGTTAAACTTTCCCACAGAAATTTCTCAGCTCAAGGGACAAGGTCTGATGCATGAACGTTGAAGCAGGAGGGCAGTGGTGGCGAAAGAGGGAGGGTATCAGTCTCCTAATCTAAGACATCTTCCCGTTCCCTTGCAACCACCATCATTATCTCCACCACCCACTACCACCCCGACCTCCATTTCCTCCACCACCCCCATCACCCCACCATTTCCAGTATCACTGCTGTCGCCACCATCTCCCACCGCCACCACTTCCACCGACTCCGCCACCATCACCCCTACCACCTCGCAATCACCATTGCCACTCACCGCCACCATTGTCATCACTAACACATTCACCATTGTTGCTGCCACCCAACCCCTCCAAGCAAGTTAGGCAACGGTTTAGGATCTAGTGCGGGCCTAAGCGAAAGTCAAGTAAATTTATTGCATATCTAATAAATAAGTGTTATTTACACTAAAAAAAACATATAGGTGCACCTTCTCGCCAAGCCCAACTATTTACCTGGGTTGAAACACCATGGAAATAATGAAGAAAGAATGATTCACTAGAGACATGACCATACAAATTCGGAAGAGAAAAGTAAATACCTTGAGGGATGGAGGAAGATTGTTACTCTTTTCTGATGACCGTGAAAAGAAATCAGCAAGGAGGGTTGGATTCTTGATGACATTTGTTTTTTTGTACTACTCACCCTCAAATCTATCAAAATCTCTCATCTATTAAAATCCTAACACATCTTTGGCATTTTTTCTACACCTAGTGCGGACTTTTTTTAAATTGTAATCGACTACCCTGAATTTGGATGTATTCTAAAATCCTAAATCTTAATTTAACTACACTATGATTTTAAAGTCTTTCAAAATCCTCTTTTAAAATCTTATTAATTAATTAGTATTCCTCTTCACTTGTAAGTGAGAGGTCCTATGTTCGATTCTCGCCAAAGACAAATTTGAACCATATTATTGTTAGCGCATTGTGAGGCAAAGCACATCCCCTCCCTTTAATGTAGATAATATAGTTTGTTAAAAAAAAATCTTATTAATTAACTACATCTGAACTTTAAAGTCTATTCAAATCCTATAAATTTCCAATTAATTGCACCTATTAATTTAAAAAAAAAATAGTGCTATTCACACTCTCTTTTCACTTCCCGCACAACCTTGTTAAATTTTGTCAATTAATCTTCTGTAATTCATTCGATACGATAGTAAAACATTAAGAGAGTGTCTAAGAGATAAAAATAAGTGGGATTTTTAGCCAAAATGATCAATGGATTTGCATTACTCATCACTTTGGTCCTTAAGATTTGAAATAGATAGAATTGGTCCATGAGTTTGTTTACAATCAATCATTTTGGTCATCCGTGAAAAATCTCTATAAAATAAGGATAAAATGACAAAAATACCCTCAACTTTTGTCAACTCATTTTGGTCTATTGTTTATTATATTGAGAGTAATTTTGTCATTTGGATCCATATTTAACATAAATTTTCACCGAATAACTAAATAATTGATGGTAAACAATCTCAGGGATCACTTCTGTTTATTTCAAATATCAGAAAACAATGTGAAAAGTTAAGGAAATCTCAAAAACCATTTTAATTAGAAAGCCAAATAAGTGCGTTGATAACACCATATTTTAAAATTACCCAAGACAACTCGCAGTCCAAATCTTTAAAAACAAAAAAGTCGTCTGGGAATTGGGATAAACCCTAAAACCTCCGTAGAGTGAAGAGAAAAAGCGTCATCTTTCAGCTTTAGCTTCCCTGAAGCTCTCCTCTCTCTCGCCAATGGCGGTAAGTAATTTCTTTTCCATCTGTTTTTCTGGGTCTTTTTTTTTATAACTTCTAGCTAATTAGGGCACATACTCTAAAATTTTCTAGTTTCTCTTTAAAATTACGATCTCGACGAGTATTTGTTCGTGCTTTAAATTTCTTCTGTTGGGGGTTTCAGTGCAAGATTTTAACAGGGGGGTTGCGTTTTCCTTTTCTGCAACCAAAAGGTCAAAATTTTCCTTCCCTGATTTAATTTTGGTTAAAATTTGGAGATCTGTTAGGATACTGGATTCTGGATTTTTCTTGTTTTTTTTTTTCGAATGCAACAATATATTTTTAGCCTACCTTAATAATTTGGTATTGAATGCGCCGTCCACGGGAGTCAGTTTCCAATTACAATTACAAGTGGAGACGAATACCATTAGAACTTAGTGCTAAGTGCACTGCGCTTTAAAAGTATTTCGTAGTATGAATGTATGCCCTATATGCATTAGTTTTATTACGTTTATTTTAAATGTGTGTTTATTTATAAGTAGGATTTGCTTCTTGAAATAGCATATCAATACTGAACTTGTAAAAATAGCACAATAATATTTCTCCCAAGTTTAGTTAGTAGTTGATGACTAACTTCTGAGCTTTCAATCGTCGATTTGATGGTAGATGTAAATTCAGCTGTTGAATAGGTTAGATGGAGTTCTCTGAATTGTAATACTTATGTTTTTGTGCAAAATGCAGACAATACCAGTTAACCCCAAACCTTTCTTGAACAATCTGACTGGAAAGACTGTCATTGTGAAACTTAAATGGGGAATGGAGTACAAAGGTATTTTTTTTATTTACGTTTCCAGGAGAAAAAAAAATTTGACTCCTCTGCTTCAAAAATTTATTAACATGCCGTGTATTTCTGATCCTCTTTGATCGTGCATCTTTTCAGGCTTCCTTGTCTCAACGGATGCCTATATGAACTTGCAGGTACTACTTTCAAATTTGAACTCTTTTTCTATACAAATTGTGAATAATTATCTTAGCTTCTTTTTTACCTTCTTTTTTTTTCGCGAAGAAAAATTCTGGTATAATGTTTAATGTATGAAATCTTATATGCATAGCTGGCCAACACCGAAGAATATATTGATGGACAATCCACTGGAAATCTGGGAGAAATTTTGATCAGGTGAGTTTTCAGGAATTCTTTGAACCACCTAACTGTAATTTTCCTTTAGAATTCTACTGTTGGAATGTGCCTTACATTTTTCTTTTCATTTACTTCTGCTAGTTTTTTTCTGACACATTTATAAGTTTTTGATTTTCTCGAAAAGATATATCCCAACTAATGTCTAGGATCTACATATGACGTCAGGAGCAAAGTTTTGGGTAAATGTTGTTCTGTGTACTAAAGAGTCTACTGAGATAACTGTGAGCACCCTTGAATTAGGAAGTTGTGACCATATGATGATAGGATATAATGCTATGGAAAAATGTTTAAGTTAGGTCGCGTTTGGCATTGTTTTTGCAGAAGTGGTTTTACTCATTTTGACTTTGGCATTTTTAAAGTTTCACTGAAGGCCTAAGTGATTCTGTTGTATCTCAAAAAAAAAAACCTCTAAGGAGAAGCACCTATCATTATTAGTTTTAAACTTTATCTACACTCTCTAGAAGTGACTTTGGCCCGCCATAATCACTCGTAAATGAGCCCCTAACTCTGACAACGTTGAGGACCGGATATTACCGTTTGTAGTAAACCATGGCCCTGAAAAGGTGCAAAAGCCTGGACCCTGTCATTTATTTTTCTAAAGTGATAATATAGATATATAACCAGCGCAACTTGGGCTAAAAGCCTAGAATTTACGAATTTTGAATGCTACTAGAATGTGTTTACTTCTTGGCGCATATGTTGTATAGCTGCAAATGAACTGAATGGATAGTATAAATTGGGAACAGCTCCTCGATGGGTGCATGCTTTAAATGCTATATTCTCTATTTCATATTGGAGATTTCTGATTTTTAATTCTTCCTTTTTACTGGGTGGAACTTTTGTGAGTTTGGCGACGAACCACCACACATCTATACACAACAGATTATTCAAGTTCTCAGTTTTTCTCTAGTCAATACAATCTGTTTCCTTTCATAAGTTTTTTTATATGTTTTGTTGCATAGAAAAATGATCCAAGCATCACATACCAATGATACCATGTAAACATGCGATGCATTCATTAAGGTAAAATACAAAGCTAACACTTCACCTGCTCTCTTTCTTCTACAGGTGTAACAACGTTCTCTATCTTCGTGGGGTGCCAGAGGATGAAGAGATTGAAGACGCTGAACAGGACTGAGACGTGCAGTAAGGGTTGGTTATGAAAACAGATATTTAAGTAATCAGGATTTTATCTCTGCTTTTGTTGTTGTTTAGGTGCATTGTATGGAGTGGCATTGCCGGATGTTTGATTTTTGACAAATGCTTCGTAAACGTTGAATGAACCATTCCTTTCATGTAACAAGGCTCGTATCGTTGGAAGTTGGAAATGAAAAACCTTTGTAGTGATTTACTGCACCCAATTCGCGCATTTGGTCTTGTTGATGTACAGAGTAGCACTAAAATGGCATAATCCACTCTGTTCCTTCTTTGAATTGGGGATGAAGATTCATCCAATAGCGAGAGTGCATCATGGCAGGACATCTACCATTCCAACAGGGATGGAAATTTAACCTTTAAACCCGTTCCCTGTGGTAGCTGCCCAGAATGGGACAGCTACTGCAATGAAAATCGGGTGTATGATTCGGTTTCTGTTTTGGAAATGATGATATCCGTCCTGAAACCACCCCCATTTTCATTTGTATTCTAGTTTTGTTGGAAAAATCATGGCATAAATGGTTCGAATTCTAATACTTCGAAGTGGAAATGGTTATTTCCGCCAAACAACGGTTCCCATCTTGTAGACCAAACATGGTGAAAAAATCGCATGCTTGCTTGCTGCTCAAGATATATTCCGAAAAACAAATGTCATCCTATCGCTTTGTTTTGAAAACTGTTAGCCGTTGATGCATGTGGAATCCAAAACACCTGAAAGAAATATCATCAATCATTTCTTTTTATCGAAAATCAAACTCTACTCCCCTGATATTAGGTTATTGATTGAACGAAATTTTCTAGCCAACAAGAAACTCTGCGATTTGCAAGCGTCCCCAGCAACAGCATACGGAGACCGAACATTTATTCAGTGCCATCCAAGTGCGCTTTCAGAAAGCAACATCGTATTACAATCCATACAGAGTTGATATTACACAGTAGTTATCGAGCTTCTTGCTTGTCTGCGATTGTTACTTTTATTCGTGAGGATTCAACTGCGGAAAAAGTTCCAATATGTGCTCCGGCATGAAATCGTGCCTTGTCAAGATCCCAACAATTGGAGGCCTCTGCAAAATGTTAATGATTTAGAACAATGTTACAACATTATAGGGGAAGCTATGAGTAAGTTGGCATTTCACCTTCTTTTCGCGTCAGAAGCAGAAATGGTATGTCAGAAGAATACATATCAGAGAGAGAGAGAGAGAGAGAGAGAGAGAGAGAGAGAGAGAGATTTACCCCTGGTGTCTTAGGCACCACCAGCAAGTGCCTGAGGCCAAGCGCCCGAAAGAAAATAGCAGCTTTAGCGAGGGACATTGTTTCAGCTTTAGCGAAAGAAAATAGCGCCCTAAAGATGGAATCCATTTTCCAAAACCAAATCCCAGATTTTGGTACCAAATAACGTAGTAGTGTCTCATTCACCACATCATTTGATGACCAAAACATGGGAAACGTTTTGGTAACTAGTTATATCATTTACATTCTATGAAATGCACTCACACAAGCCTTTATCTATCTATTGGATGTAAAAACTGCATCGTAGCGTGAGTGAGAGATTAAAAGAAAGAGCGAAAGAGAGCTGCTTTCAGTATGCCACTCACCTTTACAAAGAGGGTACTTGGAGCCAATATAGAATGAGCATCGACTCCATTTAGATATGCTTTAACCTCAGGTATGCCAGAGCCTGCTGCCGCCGGGGCAATGTATGCACAAAGAGCTGCAGCAGCAGCAGCCAAGGTTATGTTACAACAAACGAATGCTGCAAATGCCTGATAATACCTGCACTGGAGTTCACATAAAAAATTAGTTACTCAGATATATAATACATGTATGGAATATCACACACATTAAAAAGGCAAGTAATCAACAAAAGAAACATAAAAATAAACGTGAAGGATACATTTCAGCAGTAACAAATTATGTGAACATTGTCAGGGTCAGATTAACCACAATTAGGGTATCCCGAAAAAAACCCTATAGATAGATGCACCTGGAACGATATAAAGACTCTTTTGCAACGAAAAGTGAAAAAAAAAGAGGGGGATGGGAGTGTGTGAACTCAAATAGTAATCGGGTGAGTAGTAGCCAGGCTTACTTGTCCTGAAGCATGAGGTTGTTGGTAAGCAGAAGTTTGAAACCAGCTATATTCTCGACAGCTAGGTTATTGAAGAAGCCGACTAACGCAGTGCTTAAACCAATAAGCAGCACAAGTGCCCAGTTGAGGCAAACATACTGAAATATCTCAGCCTTCGTTCTAGACCTCCAGTTCTGCTTAAAAAGATCATTCTCAATAATCCTACAAGAGTGCAAAGATATACAAGTGAGGCTCCTCGAGAATATATGATAATTTCAACAATTATGTTTTCAACAAGCCTTCATAATCCACAAATAAGCTCCAACGCAATTTAGTATGGCGTACGCCTATAAAGTTTTAAATGTGAACGAACTACCACCGTGGCTTACAGGAAAGTGTTCTTTGATGAGATGCAAAACGGTTCTTATGGTTGGCACGATGTTTTAATTAATTTAACAAAAACTTCCAGGTGAAATTAAGAATTTCATGCAATTGTTCTTACTTTCCCAGTTTCTAGTTTACATACACACTCCAACATACACTGATGTGCTACATTTTCACATCCCTTTCTTTGAAGGTGATCAGCGTCGGCATCGTATCTATAACCAAAAATATTAAATCTAATATTATTTCTTTCATTAATTGGTCATATTTTCAAAACCAACACACCAAGGCACAAAACCAGAATTTTCTGTCTTCCGCCAACCAACAAAACATGATGAATGAATGTCACCAAAATAAACAAATAAATATATTATGTACAAGTGAAAACGGCAATATATTCCAAAACAGAAGATAACATTGAAAAAAAAACATAATCCAACTCTATTTGGTTTGTGTTTCGAAACCCGAAACAACGCACAAAAAAATGTAAGATTCAAAGTTTGCTTCCTTCCCTTTCTGGGGATTATTTCCTGTCCATTTTCTCCCCTCCTTAACTAATAAAAAATTCTTATTTCCAGAAAAAAGAAAGAGAAAGAGAAAGTAATTAGATTAAAAGAACTCACTCGTAGTCAAGGCTTTCAATGGGAGAGAGAATGGCACCAACAATGGCTAGCTGAGAGGTCGTGTTTCTCCTCCTATTCCTCTCAAGCAGTGGCTCCCTGAACTCCCCTCGTTCTATTTCTATACTCTTTTCCTCCTCCGATTACATCCTCTCTCTCTCTCTCATGATGTTATGTGCAGTTCATCATATCTCTCTCTCTCTCTCTCTTACTTCGAACAAGAAATCTCTCTGAGAAATGAAAATACTAGATTTCCTCGACAATTTGATTAGCTTTGGTAAACATAAGAAATTGTTAACGTAAACAGGCATCCAACATTGATGAAGATAAGGACAAGGTTTTATGAGGTAACCACGGGTCAGCAACGCTATTCCGTCCTTGTCATGGAGTTGCCAACCCTATCTTCTCTCTATATTTTTTTCATCCGTTTTTCATTATGGACTGCATGTAATCGATTGGCCCACGGAACCGGTGTTTCGTATTAGAATAGTCAAAACATATGAATTTGACAGTCATTGCCGGGATGTTACTTGTTATTCTACCCGTGAATTTGTTCGATATGAATGATTAAACACTCATTAAATGATTATCATATTTGTCATATAAAATGATGTCAAGTCGTTGTTATAAAGAGGAATGGCTCAGGCCTTGGCCTAATTCAACGATTGTCCTTCATATTAATTTACTGCATCTAGTTTCGAGCCTCAATTTTTGTTCCAATGCAATCCGATTTTTCTATCATTCATATTACGATGAAGTGTAACACCCCAACCCCCAATTATATGTATATTTCAGTGTTCCCCAAAATAGTTATGGAATTATTATTTTGACCCCTATTTTTTTGAATAAATCTAGACCTTTGATCTAGATTCCAAATCATTCTCAAGCTGCCACGTGTCAGCACCCCAACAATCATCACTCTTCTATCTTTATGTCCCCTACCCGTGACCCTCTCTCCTCTTTCTTTCTTCTCTATCTTTCTCTGCTATCTCTCTCTTTTCTCTTTCTCTTTCGAAACCCTCCCATCTCTCTCTTGTTCTCGCCGTGAACACACACACACACACATACGCACACCATCGCGTAAGGAAGATCATCATCATCATCAGCAACCTCGTCCTTCTCTCTCTCTTCTGTCGCAGGAAGGATGCTGAGAGCCCAGGAAGCTCCGGCGAGTTTCTTCTTTTCTTCGGTTAGGTAAGCTTCGAGTTTATCTCTTTTCATCCTAGTTGAAGCTTGGGTGTGTGGTATTAAGTGTTACACTCATGTTTTTCAAGGTTTTGGAGCTCGGGTTTAGGCACCCATTCTTTGGCGAGGCCGTGGGTGTCGAGAGGTTTTCCAATCACCACAGGTTGTTTCACGGCAAGTGGAAGGTACGATTCTTAGCGGTGATTCTTATTACTCCTGTTAGTAAGGATTTGCACCAACAATGTACAGTGAGTGACCCCTTCTAAAAATGCATGTTTTAATAGTAGAATTGCATACATGAAAAACATGATTTAATGATTACGTTTTATGAAACGCTTTGAGATAACATGCTTACTGAGGCTAGTTTGAATTACTACTATTTTTCCTATAACCCGTGTTCTTATAGAATATCTGATGGATGACGATATAATATTTAGAACATGTTTAGAACACCTCTTTATAGTATAGATGATGGATGACTTTATACTATGAAGTTGTTTTTCAATAGACGTATGTTCAATGATTTTGTACTTACCTAGTGGTCCACATTCCGCTACGACGCGATGAAGTTCCGTCCCGGGCGACGGTGGTGCTGGCATAGGGCCTGAAGTGGTTTTTCCTCTAGATGAAGTTCCCAGGGACGGGGAGTTGGTATAGGGCCTGAAGTGTTATTTCCTCTGGATGAAGTTCCCAGGGACGAGAAGCTGGCAAAGGGCCTGGAGGGTTATGGACATTCACTAGTGACTATGCATATACGAGTTATGTTTTTGAGACACTGCGTGGCATGCTAGGTTCGGAAAACCTATTTTATCATATATATGTGTTTTCATAAAACCTGGGGGTTAGTACGTTGATAACTGTTTTATTATATGTAGGGGTGGATTTTTTTGCCAAATTGCCGTGCCAACCGAATTACCAACCGTACCATACCGATTTTGTGCCAATCGGTAATGGTACGGTATTGTACCGTACCGAAATTTCATGGTACGGTATTGGTAATGGATATCATTACCACGGTATTACCTTACCGTGCCGAACATATAATATAATATATAATTTATAAATTATATAATATATAATTATATAACACATATTTATAATATTCTAATAATTTGATATGATGAAAGAGGGCTCAACCTCGGTTCAAGATTTCAAATAGGAAGAAGATTGCGGCTAGTGTGTGTGATTTATATGTGTTGGAGAAGTCTAAGTTATTTGAAGCAATGCATAATCAAAGGGTAAGTATCACAACCGATACTTGGACATCGGTACAAAACGTTAACTACATGGTAGTTACCACTCACTTCATGGATAGGGAATGAAAGTTGCACAAACGGATTATAAACTTCATAAAGATCACAGGTCATAAGGGAGAAGACATTGGGAAAGTTATAGAAGTGTGTTTGAACCAATGGAGGATAGAGACGATCTTTAGCATGGGGGAAACTTTTATTTGTTTTGGTTCGTAGCTTCTATTTGGATTGTAAACTTAATTTTCATCATGAATCTTGATGCATCATTTGAATTATTGTGTGTGTGAATTGTGAATGATGAATAATAGATGAATTTAGGCTACAAAGTATTAGATAAAGGTACAATAAAAAAGTTTTGCACTTGAATTGGGTTAAAAAAGCCAAAACAAATTTTGTCCCAAAACAAAGTGGCAATTACCATTGCCATACCATGCCAACCGAACATTTGGCAATACCGAACTTCGGTATACCGAAAGTTTGGTATGGTATTGGTAATAGATTTTACCAAACCGAAAGTTTGGTACGGTAATTGGTACAAGGGTTTTGGTACGGTAACCGTACCGAACCCACCCCTAATTATATGTATATCAAATAGGTTCACTCATGTTTGTTTTGTGCCCCCTTCAGGAGTTGAGAACGAGGATTGGGACTTGAGCTACGAGGCATTCCCCTATCATTAATATCGTGCTATCTTCCTCCTGTATCGACACCTTTTGTAATAGCACTATCTTATCTTAAATTCCGCATGTACTCTGTATTAGACGTATGCTCTGGACATATTGTGCACTATCTTAATGTTTAATTATTAGCAGCTGAATTTAGTTGGTGTTATTTGTTCCCATATGCATGTTTAGTATATTTCTCCACTTTCGCTAAATTAAATTACATGACCATCCCAATGTCCCGAGGACATCGGGGTCGAGGCGTGTCAAGGTTGATATGAAATGACGTCAAATCAAAAGTGATATGTAACACTATTTTTTTACCCAAAATTTTGTCACACGCAAGTTTTTTTTTTTTTTTTTAACAAACGATATTATTTACATTAAATGGTGGGGAAATGAGCTAAACTTCATAATAAGCTAACAATAATATATGATGCAAATTATGTACATTACTTGAAATGCACGGCCACCTCGAATATGAGTACCCCCAATTTATTTGCTTCTCCCTTTATTCTCTTCTTTTTCCTTTGCTTCGGAAAAGGGTATTCTTTGTCCCCAGAATCAAATTTTCCCTATACTTACATATTTAAAGTTCGCAATCAATTAAAACAACATTCATTTCCGTCCCAACCTAAAATGCTCACCGCGGCAATCTTTGTTGGTGGATTGTTCATTTTGGTGTGACCAAGCTATATGGCAGAAGAAGAACTCAACAGCTCTTTAGAGTATACACCGACATGGGTGGTTGCGCTTGTTTGCTTTGTCATTGTTCTGCTCTCTCTTTGTGCCGAGCGCGCTCTTCATAAACTCGGAAAGGTATCTAAACATTGTTCCCCCCTCTCTTATCATCTTTGCAATCATTATAACACTTGAAATCTTTTTGCTTTTTCTCCCTCCCATGCTGGAAAATTTTTTCCACCGTGCGCCACCCCATCCCCATTCCCCCGGCATGCCACCTCACCTAAAGTGTTCACAAACAAATCTAACATCATGAAACAATATTAGCAAATACGATCATTAACAAATCTGATAACTGAATTAGCCTTAGCCTAGATCCTTTAGTGGAGGGATCAGTTTGATCACAAGGTTCATGACGATGATGATGATTCAGAAGATGTAGTGCTAACACCACCTACATAAAAAGCTCAACCTTGCTAGAATTCTACAAGTGTTGACAGCTTGAATCAGGCCCCTGGGTAAGGAACATAGGTAATGGGTCAAAAGAAGTAATAGAACAATGATAAATTAGATTTAACTTAAGTGATCCCTAGCAGTAGCGGTGGATGGAGTTTGTCTTTCATTGTTCCCTCATCGGTACTTGGAGAAAAATAACCCTTTGTCATCAGTTCCATAATAATAAGTAATTACAGTAGGCTAGTTCTTCATCGTCTTCAGTCATCACCATACTGCTCCTCATTCAATCTATAGAATTCTTAGCAGCTGGTGAATATGGAAATATGTGAATAAGCAAGAATGTATTGACAGGTGATAAATGCAATGCATATACGGAGGGCGGGAACTTATTTAGTCGATAAATATTTGTCAGAAATTGATACCGTTGAGATTCAAATAGTTCCAAGGGAGGGAAACGAATCTTGAAATCACAATTTTGTAAGAAAATTGTAGGAAATAAGTTTTGGAGCTTATCAGAAATTTAGATGTCTCAGTCACAAAAGATGCACGTAGCATTGATAAGCTGCGAGACATGTCCAAAATCTTGAAAAATGAGGATTTTTCCTACTTCCAAATTATTGACGTATAGAGTCATAGAGTACTCTTAGCTTTGTTTTTGGAAAGTTGAACTTATCTATAGGATAATTCTTCAAGGGGTTATTTGGGCACATCAAAAAAATTTCAACTAGTTTGCTGTTTGGTTTAACTTTTTTTTTTCTTTTTTTTTGTCTGGAAATTCAGTATTTAAAGCATGAGAAACAAGATGCGCTATTTGAAGCCCTACAGAAATTAAAAGAAGGTCTCTCTCTCTCTCTCTCTCTCTCTCCCCCTCCCAACATATCATTTCATTCTTGTATCTTGACCAATTAGATGGATGGATCATAAATTAAGAATGCCTATATACTTTACTAACACTAATCATTGTGTTTCCTATCGTTGAAACAGAGTTGATGCTTTTAGGGTTCATTTCCCTTCTACTAACTGTATCTCAGCGTTCCATAATACGCATATGCATCCCCTCTAATCTAGCAAATCACATGCTTCCGTGCAAGAGGGAAACTTCTGAAGGAAACAATAATGCACATTACTCTCTTGATCAATCTATAAACAACCGGCGGCGGCTTTTGTCCACAGATACAAATTCAGACCATTGTCTGCAAAAGGTACTGTATTTTTAGTACCTTATACATTTTACCACCACTTTCAATGCTTGTAATATGAGTTTGGTGTGTGTGCGCGCGCGCGCGTATTCCCCTTTTTTGGCAGAGAAAGTTACAGGACTACGCTTGCTTTTTTCTATTTCCTTAGGGGAAGGTTCCGTTGTTATCATTGGAAGCACTACATCATCTACACATCTTCATCTTTGTATTGGCAGTTGTGCATGTGATCTTTTGTGTCACAACTATGGTTCTTGGAGGGGCAAGGGTAATGCTTGTTTCAGAATTTTTTTACTATTTGGATGATTATCTAAATATGTTTGATACAACATGGTGTCCTATTCCAGCTCTTTATGGTTTGGGACCTTTCAGTTTGTATAGTGCTGCGATGGATATGGTTTGTATCTCTACGTTGTAACACATACGGTTTACCATATGTAGGTACGTCAATGGAAGCGCTGGGAGTCTGGTAAGAGTAAATATGAAATTGGATTTGCAAGTATATTTTAGCCAATCCAAGTGCTTGTATCCGCTTTGTATGATTGAATAAACGCTACCCTATGCAGATGCAACTAGTGGTGGAAATGTGCATGTTTCTCAACGCCAACATCGTGAATTCTTGAGTAAACGAGGAGTAGGATATTGGCGAAGAGCAGCTGTCATAGGTTGGGTGGTGAGTTTGCTATAGTTTTGTTGTTGGAGATTATGGACTCTATATGCATGGTTCTCAAAATTCCTTGTTGCTTTATATTATTTCCTATATAATATGAAGGATTAAGATATCTGATAACACTCAGTTTAATGTACTTTCCTAGATATCATTCTTCAAACAATTTTATGGTTCTGTCTCTAAGCCGGACTACATTGCATTGCGACAAGGGTTTACCAAGGTTAATATCTCCTTCGTGTTTCTATGTGGTTCACATATCAAGGTTAAAGTTTCTCCCGTGGACATGTCATTACCAAAAATGTATGGGACTGACTCGGTTTGGTTTCAGGAGCACTTCCCTTCGGATCCCCAATTTGATTTTCACAAATACATTATGCGGACACTTGAAGCTGATTTTAGAAAAATTGTTGGGATAAGGTAATGCCTGGCTGTTGAGGTTTTGTTGTTGTTCTTGTTAAGCAGCTCAGCTGCGTATAAGTATGAAGATCCTTTTGTGGCCGGAGCCGTGTATTAAGATTAGATGGAATTTGATTGTCGACTAATATAGTAATACATATTCACTCAACCGTATGTATGTGTGTGTGTATGTAGCTGGTACCTATGGCTCTTTGTTGTGCTATTTTTGTTGCTGAATGTGGAAGGTAAGCTCTTGTAATAAAATCTCAATTTGAGCTGAATTAAATATCTGAGTGAAGTACTTGACAATCTATATCTTCCAATGTGCAGGATGGCATACCTATTTTTGGTTAGCGTTTTTGCCGCTGATTGTGAGTATTGCCTTAAGGTCCCTTAATTTTAAGTGGAACTGGAAATCAATAATTTCCTATTAATCTTGTTGAGTGACTTTGAGGAGATGATCGCATGTAAAATGATTAATGTTTGATATGGGATGACAGCTTCTGCTTCTTGTGGGCGCTAAGCTGGAACACATAATTACCCGTTTGGCTCAGGAGGTTACGCAAGGGACGACAGCACTGGGTGATCATGGAGCAGGTGCAAGAGTGAAACCTTCAGACGAACACTTTTGGTTTCACAACCCTCGCATTGTTCTGAATTTGATCCACTTCATATTGTTCCAGAATTCATTTGAGATTGCATTCTTCTTCTGGATCTGGGTATGTGTGCAATATATATATATATACATCTTACAATTCCTCCAGATTTGGATCTGCGTATGACTGACAGTCAAGATTCACTTGTTTGCAGACAACGTATGGATTTCGTTCATGCATCATGGAAAAGTTGGGGTACATCGTGCCGAGACTTATTATGGGGTAATGGAATTCTATAAGGAAGCAATTCGACATAATATAGCAACTTGTGTACTTAATTACTCTCATCTCATGGTTCCATCACCGTATGCAGTGTGATTGTTCAAGTGCTTTGCAGTTACAGCACACTACCTTTGTATGCACTTGTCAGCCAGGTAAGCTCTCTCTCGGTCTCTCTCTCACTGCTTGTTTTGTTTTTCCTTGTCTTTTTCATTTCATTTGTACAGTAAATAATCTCTTCCGTTTGGATGATTCAGATGGGTACCATGTACAAGTTTGATCAAAATGTACAACAATATATTGGTTCGTGGGTGGGAGATGCAAAAAACAAGCAAGATAAAACAGACAAAGACCAATCTTTGTCACAAAGAACACAAACGCACAACATGATGAATACAGAGTTATCTCAAATTGATATTGTACAACAAGAAACAGCTGCCAACAAAACAACTACCACTTCGCCAGTTTCATCCTCTCAACTTTGTTCATGATTTTTTTTAGTTACCTCTTTTGTTCATTTAATTTGCATGTAACCATATACTTAACTATGTGTACAAACAAAATATTTCATTGTCGAAATTTACTTCTACGTACAAATAAATATTTCATCGTCTTTGTTGCAGTCAATATTTAATTAAGGGTAAATATCAGTTTACTACCCTCAAGTTTCGTGATTTTCAACATTTGGTACATGAAGCTTTTTTCGTCCCAAAGTTATACCTAAAGTGTTAATTTTGAAACAGTCTCTCATATCCGTTAGTCAAACTGTTAACCCTGCCGTTAACTGATGATGTCGCCTATGTGGACAATGACTGAACGCCACGTGTCATTAAAGGGTCCACATGAAAATTCAAAATTCAAAAAATTAATTTTAAAAAAAAAAAAAAAAAAAAACCAAGATTGTCTTCCCCAACACCCAAATCGTCTTCCTCAAATCCCCCCGTGCCCACAGTCCCACCCACACCCAGATCTTCCCATCGACCCATCCCTTCCCTCCTTCTCCCTCCCTTCTCTTCCCTGCATCCATCCTCCCTGCAAACCCACCCATTCCACTCCTTCTCCTTCCCTTATCTCCTCTGCACTCACCCTCCCCGCACACCCACCCATCTGCCCACTTCTAATCACATTCCAATCAAACAAATAAGAAAGAAAGTATCTATTCCAAACCCATCGCAACTAAAATCGAAAGACTTAATATATGATTTTATGAATTAACTTGATGCAAATCATCACCAATTAGTTGAAGTAATTACTTGGATTGACATGGCTTTTTCTACATGGTATCAGAGCCAGGAGGCGGGCCCGTACTGCCACGTGATTGGGTGGGTCCCTGTTGGCCCCGCGTGATTGTCCACGTAGGCCAAAGATGCCACGTGTTTGGGTGGGTCCCCATTGGCCCCGCGTGATTGGGTGAGTCCCGACATGGCTCCACGTGGTTGCCGATGTGTGGAAATTCACGTGTGACCCATAAGTGGGGTCTCACGTGCGGGGGAGTGTTGGAACCCCCAGTCCCACATCTGACAGAGGGAGAAGAGAAGTGTGCTTTAAATAGAAATACCCCTCTCTAACTAACATCGAGGTCTTTTGTGATAAAACCCCACACCTGAGGATTGTGCAGGTAGTTAAGTGGAGACAGTATCGGTGTTGTTAGAGTGGACCCTCGGCCCGTCGACCTGAAAATTTCTACAGACTTCCTGTTCAAATCAAACAATTAGCCCAAATCAATATTCGTATTAGACCACCAACCAGATCTAACCATGATTTGTTAGAGTGGGCCCTCGGCCCGTCGACCTGAAAATTTCTACAGACTTCCTGTTCAAATCAAACAATTAGCCCAAATCAATATTCGTATTAGACCACCAACCAGATCTAACCATGATTCCTTCTAATTTCTCACAGTGGACATTTTTCAGTGAAATTTTACACAATAATCCCCAAAAGAAGCTTGCACGCAATTAAACCCAATTCACGATCGGGTTTGCGGGGAGCTCTAGGTTTCTGACGGTGAGATCAGCAACTTTCCTAAACGGTGCCGGATAGAGATTCGAAGAGGAGGTGGAGAAGAGGAAGAAGAAGACGAGGAGAGAGAACCGGAAGCCGAGGAAGAGGCTGATGAGGCAGCAGAGGCCGTGGAGTAGTAGCCAGAACACCGTCGCCGGCGACTTGCCGTCAGATTTGGAGTCCAACGGTGCCGATCCCGTGAAGGTGTTACTCTGTCGAGTGAGGTAGCTCTGGTGCGAAGCCGAGAGCTTCATAATCTCTCTCTCTGTCTCTCTCAAATCCTAGAGAGGGAAAGCCGAGCTAAGAATTAGAGAGGTGGGCTTGTTTGTTGTGTGGTGTCTGGAGCTAAGAATGGGAGGGAATGGGTGGGTTTGCAAGGAGGATGGGTGCAGGTAAGAGAAGGAAGGGAGAAGGAGGGAGGGGACGGGGGATTTGAGGAAGACGATCTGGGTGTGGGTGGGAGGGTGGGCACGGGGGTATTTGGGGAAGGCGATCTGCGTTTTCCTTCTTTTTTTTTTTTAAAAAATAACTTTTTTTAAATAATTATTTTTTTGAATTTTTAATTTCTACGTGGATCCTTTAATGACATATGACATCTAGTTATTGTCCACATAAACACCACATCATCAATTAACAGCAGAGTTAACAATTTGACTAACGGATATATGAGACTGTCCCAAAATTAACACTTTAGGTATGACTCTGGGACGAAAAAAACTTCATGTACCAAATGTTGAAAACGACTAAACTTGAGGGTAGTAAACTGATATTCACCCTTTAATTAAATATGTGTTCATGTAAATCCTTAGATTAAGTATAGTATTACTAGAGATCTAGAAGATCTTTCTTTGCAAAACATTGTTTTTAGTTCTTGACTAGAAAATGTGCATGCGCTTCGCTGCGAGGATTGAATGTATTAGTCGGAACATGCATGAATAGTTTCTACACAAAGTAATTGAATAATGGTACACTCCTCAACAATGCACATGAACATGGTGAGTTGAAATTTTGAAACATTCAACAACAAAAAGAAAGAAGAAAAGAAAGAGATGCTCACTCAAAAAGAAAGAAGAAACAATACCAGGCTTCTTCTCTTTGGCATCCAAAATTCCATCGCTGACTCCTTCAACCTTAAATGTATTTAAAATAAAAAATGGAAAAAACCCAGAAGAAATCATCCCATAGAATTAAATCATCCAAGTAAAATTAGACCATGGACACAAAAAGAAATGAAGGTGTAGTTTAATCTGACTTGATCAGTAACTTACTGAATAATCTTGGAATCTTTCCCACGCATGCGTTCGACTTAACCCCCATCCTCGTTGCCCCTGTAATATGTAGACATAAAGGAAAAGAAATCGACTTTAAGTTATCAATCAAATCATTTGCTTGGCTAAAAAGGTTAAAATATAATAAATATATTCAAATTCAGTTTATGAGATATCATGCAAAAAAAAATGTAAATGATTTCAAAATCATGAATGCGAATAAGAAACTCAAACTTGCTAAAAAGAAAACCTATTATAATGTGTCAAGATATTCGCAGCATATAGTGTCAAGATAACTGCAACAAAAGTTCCATCCAATGATTTAACACTCAGATCAAACAAAAGATGTGGCTTCATAATTTCCAATTTCAGTTCCTTACCAGCCTCAGTGAGCATTTCACCAATTTTAATCTCTTCCTAGTATAGTGTACCTTTCATTTTCAAAATAAAACATCTTCATGTACCAAGTAAATGATAACATAAAGTATCATTTTCAATCTACAGAATTTTGTAATCAAACCCATATACATACACGTAGAAAAATCAACTATGTCCCTAGTACTAACAAAATTAGTAGTGTATATACGTAATATATAAATACACTTTTGGTTTTGTAGGACGAAGCAACCATACCCTGAATATATATAAGCACACTTTTGGATTTGAAGAATTTATTGTTGGATAATAAAATTGCAGGGTAAAACGTACTTGAACCATTTCACTGACGAAGTTGAAACCTCCAAGGTCCATAACGGATCCAGCCAGCAAATATTCACTAATAACCTGTCAAGTTTTGGTATGAAGGAAGCAGAATATGAACATTAAGTAAGATCATGGCATTAAGTTTTCTCTATAAGTTTGGAAATATATGTACACACGTATGTACTTATGAATGTAACAGATCGGTTGTCCAGCGCAAGCAAAGGCAATGCCACCGCAGGTTGCAGATACAATAACGACCACCAAATCTGATATTAATCTACAACGAAACCAGTAGATGAGTTCAAATCAGCATTTTTTGTTAAGAGAAGACCAATGAACTTAACGAAACTGTAATGAGCCAGTAAGTTTGCCTCAAGTCTAGTTGCAGCATTGGATATTTTGATTTAAAATTTGATATTATGAAGACACTGTCCTAAAAATATTAAAAACAAAGTTACATTTAGGTCTGTCAAGATAAATAACCGGAGCAATTATATTTTCCATGAAGCAATCTTACATTGTGATCTATCAGTGTTGGTGTATCTTCCTTCGTCTAATTTTTCTTCGACTTTACTCTCGCAACTGTTTCCAGTACCGCCTAACCCACACAAAGATAGGTAAACAATGAAATTAGAAAGAATTACAACATATCGCATTTGAGACCGAATCAAGTATGCATCAAAACATTAGATTGCACTATATTTGCGCTAGCAACCCATGAATTACGATAAGAAATGGTTCAATGTAAACAAGGGCGGAGCTACCATGGGCCTAGGGGGCGGATGCCCCCACTGAGATTTTTCTGATTCTGCTATAACTGATCTGGTTCTGCAGCAGCAGAGCCCCACTGAGATTTTTCTGGTTATGCAGTAGCAGAGCTGGGTCTTATTTGGTGAAAAAAAAATTAAAAAAAAAAGTAAATGAAACGGGTCGTTTCATATATGTTTTTAAAAAAAAGTATGTATAGTGGGGGACCGCTTGTCCCCACGGTCCACCCCCATTCCATCTCCGTTTCATTTTTATTTGCCTTTGCCAATCAGAGAGCAGTGTGGTGATGCTCTGGCCCCAAATTCCCAGCAACTTGAAATGGAATGGAACAGGAGCAAAGGTGTTGTTCCCAGCCAGTGTAGTGTAGCCACTCCAGCCAACCACTCTCTAGCCGACATATATATATATATATTTAGGTAAAACTTTTAATTCCTAAATCTATAATCCCTAACCCTAATTAATTATTTAAGACCAATTTTTGTTTAATTGGTATAGAAATATAGAATCATATGGTAATGCACTAATATGGTTATTGATTATTGATTATTGATATGAATTCTATGATTATTGATGAATGAAATTATGAAATTACAAATTCTATGAATATGGGTATACATTTATTCATATGATTAGTTGAATTAAATGTTTATTTGTTGAATAATTTGTATGCTCATTGGTATTGGTTAATTGAATTGTTGGTTGGATTAATTATTAGGCATATTAGTATAGTATACTCTAGGATTAAGAGTCTTAAGAATTTTATTGAGATTTTTATTCTATAAATTCTACAAATTATGTATGAACCTTATATGTTATCGGTTGTGTTTAGTAAATTCTTGAGCTTTTTAATTATGACTTTTGTTGTGATGCTGCA